GCTTCAGTCATGTCACGTTTACCGAAGAGTGAATCTAAACTGACACCATTGACACCAGCACCAGCAAGAACTTGAGCACCCAATAAAGCAGCAGCTACAAAAAAAATATAGTAAACAAAATCTAAGAATCTTAAATTTACTAACTTGAAAGAGCTTGTTCAGTTGGTTTTTGTAATACATTTGACCAAACAAGTTGTAAACTATTGAGGAGACTGTCAGCTAATGTATCAAAGAAGCCACGCATTTCAACTTCAGTTAAATCATTACGACTTGTTGGAATAGTACTGAATAATTGTGCGATGACAACTGAATATTCTACAAGAATAATATATAATGGAAGTTTATTTTCATAGTATTTTATATTTACTTGAGAGAACATTTTTAAGAAGTGGTCTAACAGTATTTTGCCATAAACCATCAAAGACAGCTTGAACTTGAACAGCAGATGGATGTAAGATACGACCTTGTGATGGAAGAGGAATACCTGTTTGAGAAAAGCCGGCTAAGACTTGTGCAGCCAAGAGAGCCATATCTAAAATAGTACACAAAATTTAATGAAAGTTTAGGTGAAAAATATTTTAGATTATATACTTGTAGCTATGTGATTCATTGGTGGATGAATAACTTGAGTATAGAAGTCAGTAAAGAAACCGCGGGCATTTGCTTCAGCTTCAATTGAACGTTTATGAGCATGGGAAAGGTCAAGAGCATATGCTGATGCAGCAAGACCGACAAGAAGTACAATTACCAATTGGGAACGCATATTTCTTAAAAATATAAAGATCAAATAATATGGATAAAAACCAAACAGAAAATACACTCTAGTTAACTTACCTTTTCTTTTCGTAATTGGCCAAAAGAATATATTAAATTTGCTTTTCGTTTACCGTCTTTTATAGTTGTATATTATCGGATAAAACAACATATGTGGGTTGGCAGCTGGTCATATTCTCATATTAATATTTTTTTTCTCAATGAAAGGCGTGATCTACTAACCATCTACCTACACGTTTTTGGGGACATTATAAAAATAAAAAAAAGCAAATTTTCAGTTTGATTTTCAAGTTATCATGTTCTATAGTTTTTATTATAAGTCTATATCAAAGCAGCATATAGAATACATGCGAAATATTACATATTGCATATGTATGATTTATTTGATCTATGTAAAACACATGTAAAGATGATTGCTAATCATTACGAAAAATAATTTATAGTAAACAATATACAGTTGTAGCATGTCTAAATAGTTGCATTAAGATTCTTTTTTTAATATAATAATCGTATATTCAATTTCTATTGCATGCAGTTGAAAGTAGCTTTCCAATCAAATCGATCATGTTACAAGAATAAACATTCAAGGCAACAAAACGTTTTTGTAGAGAAGAAAAAGAAAGTGGAAGTTTTCATAAGTCCACAATCTTCTAATTAACGTCAATTAGAGATGAAATATGAATCATTATAATTAACACGACTAATCTATCCTTATTTACAGTTTTATCATTTATTTAATAGTTAGAACTTAATTGTTATGTGTTACATGAGATTATTATTTATATAATATTTGATGAAATATCTTTTCAATAATCTTTAATATATTTGCAAAATTTTCTAGTATTTAATCGATAAACTAAATTTATATGATAGTACTGCATACTTCTTTTTATTTTATTTTAAAACGAAGAACATTATAATAACAGATATTCAACATTGGCATTTATTTCTCAAGTCGTTCGATATGGAGGTTTTAAAAATAGCATTATAATAGATAACAATAAAATTTACACGTTCTCGTTATTTCAACAATAGCAGATATAAAAATATGTTCTTTTTTCCCATGTATAGTGTAGTGAAGTGAAATAATCAGTTTTGTTTAAATCATGAAGTTTTTTTTTCTTCATTTTTTTGTTTTGATAAATAATATAACATATTTCAATTCTAATAAAAATGCAGAATGAGCCGTAAATAACGGTGTAAAGAGAATTGTTAAATATCTCTATTTTGACCCGATCGAATGAACTGATTGATAGAACTTTACTCAAAGTTTTTTTTCTTCACAGGAATTATGTGAGTTAACTTCATGAAAGAAATCTATCTGTTATAATAAGAAGAAATGAAAACAAACTTTATGTTTTAGAGAAAATTTTCAAAACTAGTTAATCTAGATGCTGAAATTCGTATTCAACAGCAACACTAAAAAGCATAATTGAAAATACTGTGACTATTGATTTTAAATTAAATAATTTTGAAAATTGTCGTCTACGTACACCAATATAATACATAAAGCTTGTTCTCATTGTTTCTTATCATTTTCTTAGATAACAAATGAAAATTATCTATAGAATGATTCTCACACGTATTTTTCTTACTTAGCTATAGATCAAATTTATTTCATATTTAATAGTAGGATTTACTTACATTATTTCTATGAAAAAAAAAGTTTTAGTATGAATTCAAAAATTAGTCCATTCGACCGAGCCAATATCGAGATATTGTTATTTGTGATCCATCTTGTATAATAAAAAAGTTTAACTAGAAATGTATAATTATCTAAATACAACTTTTGTTCTTTTTATTTCAAAATTATTTGAAAAAAATTGAATACAATACATTAGATAAATTAAATTATTTCCTCTTCAGTCCGAATAATAATTAAGTACTTTTGCACGTTCTCGTTGACAATGTATACAACGACAGTCAGGTAATGGTGTTGCATATAAACTATTACGATAATGTGAACCTGGTTGTTGTTCTAATAGTGGTTTTTGTTGATATTCATCTGTTAGCATAACTCGCTGATGTACACTTGGATAATTACTTCTATCAAATGCTGTATGATGGGCATTCATTGGGGATACACCACGACTCGTTGTTGGATTTTCAGTTTGCATAGAACGTGCTTTTTTTTCGATAGGAGGTAAATATATACGAGGTGGTTCTGCTAGATAAGGAAAATTGCAAGGCGAATTGTAAGGCGGATAATCATAAGGATTAGTATAGGGTTGATAGGTATATCCTGAGTAAGGATAGACTGGATATTGCGGTAGTGGTTGTAGTCGTGGTGGAGAAGGTGCAGGTAAGCTATATAATTGTGGCATGGGTTGTGCAGGGACTGTTACGAGTGGATTTGGTTTCGGAACAAAATGATATACTTCTAATCGACTTAGATCGACATCTTTTTTCTCTGTATTAACGACATTAGGTTGTGTGAGTTCGTACATCTGCGGAGCTGCGCCTACATGAGGAATATGATTACTCGTAGGTATTGGCTGTTGTGGTATAACTGGAATATAATTACTCGTAGGTATTGGCTGTTGTGGTATAACTGGAAAATAATTTGTTGTAGGAACAGGAGCTGCCACCGGCGGATAATATGGTGTTGTATAAGGATAATACTGACCCGTATAATATGGATCTGAAGATGCTAGAACCGGCTGATAATAAGGATCCATAGTATTAGAATATGGGTATTCAGCAACTACTGGCTGTTGTGTTAAATCAGGATTAACTGGCTGTTGTATTAGATCAGGATTACCGTGGTGTACGGTTTCGGACACAGGGTTATTAGAAGTTGTATCTTTTGGTTCATTATAATTTGGATAATAATATTTTGGTATAAGGGGAAGACTATTAGATGCTTGATTATTAATAGTAGGAGGTACTTCTTGTTCTGCTTCAAAATTCGAAGGATATTGATTATTTTGTTGTATTTCAGTTTCACGTATAGCCGGTGGCATCAACAAAGCACGATACTGTGCTGACGGATCATAAGTATTTGTATGAGCAGCACGTTGTAGAGGTGATCGACTGACATACGGTAAATTTCGTTCCATTCGTTACCTTCAAAATTAATGTTTTCATTTTTTTTTCTTCTTCTCACTTTCGGAAGAAGAAAAAAAGAAACTATCGAATCATTTAAAGTGTTTTTTTGTGTTTAAGTAACAGTTGCAACTGTAATAATAACAATAACAATAACATCATTTCGATTTATATAAAATCAAAAAGTGTCACGCTTTCTTTTTCTTTTCGTTACTAACAACAAGTCAGATACAATTAATTCACAAACTATTGAGTATTACAAAAACATTTCTTTTCATAGTGTATACACACAACCACACCTTTTCTCCTTGAAAATTATGTTAAATTATGCTTTTCGACGTCTTTAAAGTTTTCAAATTAATATATAACAAAAACTTATCATATTTTTCTATTATGTATATATTTGTTTATATAGTTTAAGTATGTAATTTCTCTTACATAATCATGACATCTCTTATATCGATATACAAATGTCGCGATTATTATTTTTTCTTTCTGTCGTATAAATAACAACTTAATTATAACAAGAATAACACTTTTTTTATTATGTCTATCGTTTTCCTGAACAATCGCCATAACATAAACAACATTTAAGAAGCATAGCAGCTACATCATCATCAAAATATTCTCGTATTTTATGATAAAAATCTAAACATTGTTTTACATTTTGAATAGTTTTTGGATCTTTTGTGCCAGGATATTCAATACGAACAGGTGCTGATTGATTTTTTATTTGTAATTTACGACCTGATCCAATATCTTTTGAATTGATTGTATCTATAGATAAATCTGATTTAATATTTTTTGAATTAATTGTATTCATAGATAAATCTGATTCAATATTTTTTGATTTGATTGTATCTATAGATAAACCTAAATCAAGTTTTAATATAAAATAATAATGAAATACTTTTTTCATTTTCTTGATTATTTTGATTATCTATTAATAAAATCAAATATATAAAATCAAAAGAAATCATTTTATTAGACCTCGTAATGGAAGTCTAGTGGAACTATAACTATTTGATTGAAGATCATCACTTTGTTGACTACTAAATGAATGTTGAGATTCTGATAAACCTTTACTTTTTAATTGTTTAGGAATAATATTATTAGGTAAATCAAGAATAGATTTTGATTGTTGAGATTTTATATCTTCAGATAATGATAAATTATCATGATCGTGTGTAGATGATTTTTTCGGAAGATTATTATCATCGAAATCAGTCATTGCTTCTTTCTAATGAAAAAAATAAGATAATATATTTATTTGAATTATAAAAAATCTTCTTACTATAATATCTGTACTTAACCATTGAATAAGATCATTTGGTGTTAACCATGGACTTTTACACATTATTTGTCGAATTAATGATGGAAGACAACAATATAAAAGAGATATTTCTTCATGAGAAATTTTATATCGAACTTTATTAAGTATAGAATTTGTAATCATTTGTATACAATTATCTGATGGTATTGATAAATATTGAATATGACTTGTTTGTTTATTTAAAATAGGTTTCATAGGAGCAGTATTTACATCAATGCAACAATCATTGACTGATATTGTATTGCAATAAGGTTGTTTTCCATAACATTTAATTGGTGTTGGATGATTATTGACAATACATGGTGAATAACAGTGTTTGTATGTGTTTGGTAAACATCTTCTAGAAATATAAGATAATAAAATTTATCAATGTTATATAAATTTCAAAATTTTGAAAATAAAATTTCGTATTTATGAAAAATTAAAAAATGCTTACACCCATTCACGTACTGTTGTGAAAAAGTACCATATTCATGAGTACGATTACAATAACGTTCTCGAAGGATTGCTCGACACTTTTCCGCAATCAAATTAGATTTTAATGTTGATGTTTTATTCATTAGATTCTTATAAATAATTATTTTTTTTAATGAAAAAATATCATAAATTTTGTAATAAATATTAACTTAAACAATAATTACAATTGTTTTAGAACTCGGAATAGTGGAAAAAATAAAGAATTTTCATTGCGAAATTACGCGCTGGATTAGATAAAATCAATTCAATCTTTATATTTAGAATGTAAATCAATTCAAAGAGTTGATACTATCAATGATCATGATACAAATTCACTATGTGTTGTTTTCTTCATATGAAAAGCACTATAGATACTGTATTACTCCTGGTCCATTGAATGACACTTTTAAACTAAGGTAGATTTTATTAGAAATACAAAATTGTAAAATACGATTCATTCATCATGATGTCCTATAGGTTTATCGCCAGTAGGGACTAATTACTGTATGGCAATCCTTGACGTCATCCATTTTAGCGGATACGACGTATTTTACCAGTCTATTATCGTCGTCAATTAATCTTAATTTTCTTTTCTTGATTATGTATACTATAGTTTCTACTTTCGATATCGTCTTTTCAACTGCCCGTTAGTATTCTTCAGAATTCATATTTCTGAGGCGTATAGTACTACGCTGAAGACACACGTTGTTTGAATCTCGAAACATGCGATAGTACTTTTTAATCTTATAAGTATATCTACAAAACTAATGTTATAAAATTTATTCACTAACAGAAGCATTAAATGTAATGAGAGGTATTATTTAATTTTTGATTAATAGGAAAATTTCTATCAATATAGAAACACATCTGTTTTTGTCAATTAAATAAAGAATAATTCAATGAACATTAATATTGTTATTTCTTTTTTTTTGCCAACGGTAAAAATCTTGCGTGATATAGTTATGTCGATAAAGATATTTTTTATCATTAGACAAAAATAATTTAAACAATTTAGATCTTTACTTAGTTTTATCTTACACGATTTGCGTGACATAAAAAATCGTTTGATCTCTTCGAATACTCATTCTATTTATCGAGAAAATGAACATAATTATATAATTAACTAATTTAATTGTTAATATTTTTTTTAGAAATAAAAAAATTTCTTACGAACAAACAATAAAAATAAATAATTATATCTACAACCATACATACATACAAATTTTGTTAAGCTTTTGAGCAAGAATATAATAAATAAAGCAGTAAACACAACATCAGAAAAAGAAAAGGAAAATTTGATATGTGCAATAACATTCATCATTTTATGTGGTAAGCTCATAATGTTGTTGAAGATTTCTGTTAGGATTATTATGATTCATAAAATCATATTCTCGTTCAATTGAATAACGTGGACTTCTTCGTTGATATCTTAGACGTCTTAACGACGGAAGAGATGAAATTGATGTTGTTGTTGTTGCACTACTACTATGTCGAGTATCAACTTGACGAACTTTTCCATAAGATTGATTGATTGGAAATGGATTTATTTGATTCGTAATACTTTGTTCATTAACATTAATATCACTCGATAGAATTTCTTTTATATTTTGTTCATGTTGATTATTAAAAAGTACTTGTTTTCGTTTCAATCGATTTAAACAACAACAATAAATATTTGTAAATTCTGATCGAAATTTTGCTCCATATATAATAAACATAATAAATGTTGTTGCTGCATTTAATGTTGCACATAAATTAGCAATTGAATGAAATTTTCGTAAAAGAAATGGTGGTTTTTCATTGATAAACATTTTTGCACTTATTAACCACATTATTGATATAGTAGCTGATGGTAAACGAAATACAAGAAGTAATATTGTTGTTGCTAGTAGCATTACCGTTACACCTAAAACAAAAAAATAAATAACTTCAATATTGTCTATTCTACCTGAATTAAAAAGTCATTTGGTAAAAATTAAAATTCTTCATTTCACTTAATTATAGTAATGACTAGTAAAATTCATCTTTTCCTCGAGAGAATTTTAGTAATATACTGATGCTTATCAAACTATATTTAATTTTTAGCTTTAAACATGATCTAGGTCTAATCTGACAGATTTTCATTCTCATTCTTTAAATATCTTTGAAATACAAGGCATATTGTCTTACGAAGAAGTTTCTAGAAAGATATATTTTTAAAATTCCTCTAATTTTTGTTCTGAATAAATAAAACATATAACTTTTTATTTTCTTGTTTATATGAATAAGAAAACTCTGAATCATTTCTATCTAAAAAACAACATTTTTTCTTCTTATACCCTGTTTAGTAGGTGATGGTGCTCTATATTCTGCTGAGCGTTGTTCAAGTAATCGAATTGATATAAGTAATTTTCTATTAAGTATGATAATAATTGTTAATGGAATAACATAAACACCAAGTGCATTAATTAAAACATAAGTCCATCGAAAAATAGAATTTTTTCCTAATTTACTTAATATATAACGATAGTTCTTTTTATTAGTATTTGCAAAAAGTATTTCATTTAAAGCAGTTTCTTCATGTGGTTCATATTCTAATACAAGTGGAAATGCATAAAAAATACCAATTATAAAAATAATTAATGTTACACATCGAGCATTTTTCATTGTACAATAAATTGGACCGACAAATGGACGACAAATCACTTAATTATAAACAATATATATATAGATTTTTAATTAATATAAATAAATTTAATCTTACTTATCCATCGATCAATTGTAAAAGCTACACAAAGCCATACACTAAGTACACGACCTGTTGTACTAATTGCACCTAAAGTTCGATTATTATATCATATAAATTATATGAAATATTTCATTTAATATTTTACCTGCAATGATAAGTAATTTTGTATAGGCATATGTTCGTGGTAAATCATAATCAGGTATTTCAAGTGGATATGCATTTAATATATAACCAGGTAAAAGAAAAAGACAAGTCGTAAAATCACTTAAGCATAAACCAGCTAAATAAACGTATGTTGATAAACGCATTACTCGACGAATTAAAATTGAAAAACTAAGTGCATTACTAACAATACCGAGAAGACAAATAATTAATCCACATACACCATTAACATAATGATCAAATGGATTACGTGCAAGTGATTGTGATTTACGAATTGATGATAATACATCGCTATCGATAACAAAATCTTCGTCAGTTAAATTTAACGATGACATAATTATGATTGGTTTCTTTCGTACATAATCTATAATGTGATTTTAAAAATATTAAAAAGAAAAAAACAATAATTTCACTCCTAATAATATAATACAAATAGTTGGTATAATTCAGTATTTATGATAATTTAATTTCAAGAAGAAAAAAACATTTTTTCTTCCTCATAAAAAAAGTTGCTAATTAGTTTTTTTCTAACACTCTATTAGTATATTATCATATAGTCGATGACAGGCTTAACTTAACTATAACTGTCGAAGAATAAAACATCATAATGACAGACACGAGAACGTAGACAGAAACTAAGAAATAGTAACGATAAATCTATGCTTGTTATGAATCACTTTCGAAGGATTTCTTTTCTCTACTGTTATATAAAGAAAAGTTAACTTAATCAATTTTTATTTATATACTTAGGATCATTCAAAATTACTAGCGTTAATATCTTATGAAATATTCATCGGAAGTTTCTTTGTTTATGTAGTCATTTATCGCCATTCATTTACTATCATTATAAGAAAATCTGTTTTGTTAACGAATATGATTGTGCTACTAACGTTGAATGAGTCTGCTTTGAATAATCTTTACTAGAAATATAATAGAAAGCTATGGTTTTCACTATCAAAAAGCAGAGATATAGATGAAAGGTTTTTTGCATGTATCTTTCTTGAAAACAAACCTGTATTATGTGAGTTATTTACAGTGAGTTTTTGATTATCAAATGTGTGTTTCAATTATCAAATGAAAATTTATTACCTACGCAAGATTATTATATAGAAATTTAATTATTTAAAAATTATAAATATTCTAATCGAATCTTTCAGACAATCTTCTGGCGATTCCTGTAAAAAGAACCAGGTCTTTTACTCTTCTTTAATTAAAAAAAGAACATTTTTCTGACAGTTAGGAAACTAAACGAAAAAATCTTTCGAAATCATACATATATAATTCAATGCATTGCTATTTCTTCTCTTCTAATAATTAAAGTTTCATATTATTCTAATTTATTTCTATCGAAAATTATCCAAAAATATACTCACACAGCGTTAATGCTACTGTCACATCTCATAATAAAGCCGACCTTCTGGAAAGTTTAATATGATAATATTAGTCGAATACTGATGAAATAACATCAGAAAATATAGAATATCATTTGATCAGTATATAATGAGAAAAAAAAAGGAAAAATTTTTTGAGCTTCCTTATAAGAAAATAAGAGAATGACGACACTAATTTTAGATTGCCTTAAGTATAAACATCTAATATCATATCTTTTATTATTTCCTTCCATTTTCTTCTCTTTTTACTAGCACAAAAATAAAAATACTACAACATTAAATAAGTAGAAATTATTATTGTCTATGAATGTAGGAGTAATAGTCTGATGAAATAAACAAAACATCATTTTTAATATAACTTACATACTTAGTCAATCATTATGGTATATTAGAATACTTTTGTTAAATATTTATTTGACTTTTTCTCATATTTAAAGACTTATTTTAATGATCTTTTGCATAATGTATAGATTGAACACAGAAAAACAGATCTGTTTTTGATTGACATGCAACAAATATGAACTAATATAATTAACTAGAAAATATTAATGTATTCTAACAAAATTCTTTCAAAGAAAACTAAAGATCAAAAAAGAAAAAGGACATTCTCTCTAATAAACAGAATTATTTCAAACATGTCTAACTATCTATTCAAGCTAGATATAGACAGATAATCGATTTTTCTTTTCTATCTACTAAGAAAATCTTTTACATTTCGCACTTGCATGATAGTTGTTTTCTCAGAAAAATATATTCGTGCTAAGAATAAATACATATGACACATGTCTCGGAATGGATATAGTGTAAAAGACGTCAATAAAGCCCTTATGGATTCACACAGCAACTACATTATTATGTTAGAGATAAAAAAGAAGAACCTTTCTAATTTGTCTCTTCCATAATCGCTTGCTTTATGTCTTAAAAGAACAAATGTAGAATTAGAAGAAAAAAAGAGAAAATATATATGATTATATATAAAAGAAAAAGTTTGCAATGTACTATTTAACATTTATATTCATATTGAATTCTATTTTTGTATAAATACACAATGTAGTTCATTAGTATCATTTTAAAAAATATGTATTAGAATTTTATTGAAGCGAGAGAATTTTTAAGAAATAACTATGAATTAGTGACATCTGTTAGTTTTATCAATATTGAAAAACAATACAATGTATGAATTAATTTTTAAATAAAAAATTTCAAGTTTATTATAGTTTAAATAGAATATTTTATATTATTACACCACCATAAACTCATCTGTTTGGAATGATTCATAATATATCCAATGAGTTGTCTGTCTCTTTCTGTTTCGTCGTCTTCTATCAAAAACAAAGTCCTACGCTATATACATACACAATATATTCGTTCGTTCGTTGGTTCATTCATTCATTGTGTGCACAAAATTTTTCGTTATTATAATCACAATCGTCTAGACTTTTTTGTTTCTTCTGTCTATCTTTAAATATATTCTCTAAGATGAGTATAGCAAGTCCAAAATTACCACCTGTTGTTCTTACAACAAATAATAATAGCAAAAATCAAACAAATTCATCTTCAACATCTATTAAAAAAGAATTTAATAATATTTCATCACGAATATCAAATGGAAATGAGACAAAATTAACTATTATTCATAAGAAGGAACCTATTCATGATTCACCATCAAAACGAAAAAGTCGTGTTCTACATAGTAGTGAAGAATCGGATGACGATGATAAACCATTGGTAAGAACTATAGATACATATTACCTATCTATATATATACATTGGAAAATTCTTTTAGGCGAAAAAAGCAGCTGCTATGAATGGTTATCATTTAACAACGCCAGTCAATGGAAAAAAAGATTCTGTACCTGTAACAGATTCACTGAAAACACCTACAATTAAAAAAGAACCTAAGACTGAATCAACACCAACAACAGATTCTCCGAAAACTTCTATAGTGAAAAAAGAAACAACAACAACAACACCAACTATCAAGAAAGAACCAAAATCAGAAACAACACCAGTGACTTTTAAAAAAGAACCATCACCACCCAAACGTAAAAATTCAAATGTTGAATCTGATGATGATATGCCATTAGTAAGATTCGTTTATTTATTTTTATTAACTTCATAATTGAAAAGTAATCATTTGTTATATATCGAGCCTATCTAATAATTTAACTTACTACTGAAGATTATTTCAATCCTTCTGAGTAACATATATGTATCAAAGTTGTGCTAGAAGATATTACGATTTTCATACACTTGTTAGATACAAATATCTTGTATTAAATTGAATTTCTTTTTCAGGCAAAAAAAGCTAAAAATCAAGCAGCTGCTCGAAAAAAATCGAATTCTACAACACCAGTTGTTGTAAAAAAAGAAAAGAAGTCAGATGTTAAACCATCATCAAAAAAGAAACTTTCCACAAAACCGTCATCGAACAAAATTAAAAACGAAAAAGTAACACCAACATCATCACCAACTAAAGAAACAACTAGTAAACGTAAGAAAAAACAAGAAGAAGAAGAAGATATTTGGAGATGGTGGGAAGAAGAAAAATATACAGACGGTCGTAAATGGACAACACTTGAACATAAAGGTCCATTATTTCCACCTCTATATGAATCATTACCACACAATGTGAAATTTTTTTATAATGGTTTGTTAATTAATTTTTTATACATATATTTTGAATAGAAAAATAAATCGAAATTTTTTCTTTTAGGTACGGAAGTTAAATTAAAAGATCCAGCTGAAGAAATTATGACATTTTATGCCCGTATGTTGGAGCATGATTATACATCTAAAGATGTATTTAATAATAATTTTATGGCCGATTGGCGTAAATCAATGTCACAAGCTGAACGTGAATTAATAAAAGATATACGTAAATGTGATTTTACACAAGTTGCAAGTTATTTTAAAGAACAAACTGAACAACGTAAAGCTATGAGTAAAGAAGAGAAAAAAAAACTAAGAGATGAAAATGAAAAAGTAAGAAAAGAATATGGTTATTGCATGTGGGATAAACATCGACAACCAGTTGGAAATTATAAAATTGAACCACCTGGACTATTTCGTGGTCGTGGTGAACATCCTAAAATGGGTTGTGTTAAAAAACGTATTAGTCCAGAAGATATTATAATTAATATTGGTAAAGAAGCACATATACCAAAACCACCTGAAGGACATCATTGGAAAGAAGTTCGACATGATAATAAAGTATCATGGTTAGTTATGTGGACAGAAAATATTCGTGGAAATAATAAATATATTATGTTAAATGCATCATCACGTGTTAAGGTTTGTTTTATTTTGTTAATTATCCTTTTTTTTGAATGAATTTTATTTTGATAGGGTGAACGAGATTGGCAAAAATATGAAAAAGCTCGAAAACTTCATAAAATTATTGATAAAATACGTGAAAATTATCAAATCGATTGGAAAAGTAAAGAAATGCGTATACGTCAACGTGCTGTTGCACTATATTTTATTGACAAAGTAAATTATGAAAAAATAAGAGAATTTTGATTTATTTCTCTTATTTTAAGCTTGCACTTCGTGTTGGTAATGAAAAAGATGAAGACGAAGCTGATACAGTCGGTTGTTGTTCCTTACGTATCGAACATATTAAATTATACGATAAAATTGATGGCATTGGAGAGAATGTTGTTGAATTTGATTTTCTTGGCAAAGATAGTATCAGGTAAATTGTTTTTATATTGAAATTGACTCACTTTTCTGTTTTCTACAATCATCAGAAGTTTAAGTTATCAGTTAGATATACTCACATAAAAGACAACGATTGTATGTTGATATATGAAAAGCTTCTTAGCTCTAGTAACAATTCTTGAAGAGCCATTTTGTTTATAAATATCAATATATAGATCAAAAATGCTTATTATTTATTTTTCTTAAATAGATATACCAATAAAGTCAGTGTTGAATCACGTGTATATAAAAATTTAAAATTATTTATGGAAAACAAAGAGGGTAATGATGAATTATTTGATCGTCTTCAAGTAAGAAAATGGATTATTTTTATTATATGTATAATATTGATTTGTTTTATTTTTCTCTAGACATCAAGTCTTAATCAATATTTAAGCGAATTGATGGATGGTCTTACAGCTAAAGTCTTTCGAACGTATAACGCTTCAAAGACACTTCAAGATGAACTTGATTCACTCACAGAGTCATCGGCATCTATACCAGAAAAACTTCTCGCTTATAATCGTGCTAATCGTCAAGTTGCATTACTATGTAATCATCAACGTGCTGTACCAAAAACATATGAAAAAAGCATGGAAACTCTTAAAGCTAAAGTAATAAAATAAATTTGTTTTTGTTTTGTAAGTCAAAATTTGTTTCTCTTTTGTTAAGATTGATGCAAAAAAATCTGAAGTTGATGAACAAAAATCAGAATATAAACGAGCATCAATAGAATATAAAGATACTAAAAGTCAATCAGCACAAAAGAAAAAGGAACAAGCTGAAAAGAAATTACAGCGTTCAGAAGAAGCATTAAAAAAACTTGAAGTACAAGTAGTTGATCGAGAGGAAAATAAAGATATTGCACTTGGTACATCTAAATTAAATTATCTTGATCCACGTATAAGTATAGCATGGTAAGTAAAGAATAGAAGAAAAAACCCATATTTCATTTATTTTATTTAAGGTGTAAAAAATGGAATGTACCAACTGAAAAAATCTATTCTAAAACTCAACGAGATAAATTTCGTTGGGCTCTTGATATGGCAACAGCTGAGTATCATTTCTATAATTATGAAGGTGAAATTGTTTTACGTAATGTTGATGAAACAAATAATGATGATGATGATGATGAACAACAAAATTCTGATGATGAATGATTTTTTTTTGTCTGATTTTTCTTTTCGTACTTTCTTTCTGATCATGCGAATAAATAAAGAGATTTATTTGCTCTGTTCATGTTTTTGCTTTTCTTTTTCTTCTTTTGTGTTTATCTCTTTCACTCGCCGCTTACAATGTTTTCTGTCTTGTTCTCATTATAATGTTATTCATACAGACTAATAAAGACGGAGAGTCTTGAAAGAAAAAAGAAACACAATAACTAAGAGAAAAAAATATATAGATCTCATTTTGATGAGAAAATTCTGAGATAACAAATAAATCGTTAATTTTGAGTGTTTTTTAAACGATTTTTATCTATCTGTTATTGATATATGCAAACATTGTTTTATTTGAATGTTGCTTTCGCCATCAGTCCGATTTGTTCTATATTTTTCATAAAACATATGAAAGAAAAAAATAAAAATAAATTACATCAATTAACTATAATACATTGAAAGAAATAACATTTATAAAAGACAAGCAGGGCATGATTTTACAATGTTTTGCATCAATTCACATCATATTTTTTATTTTCTCATATTAGTCACCTGTATTACTTATGCTTTTACCATTGCTTTATATATTTATATATATAATGACTGTTTAGTATTCAATCAAATAGTACAGCTCGTTGGGTTAAGTTGATTATTATCTAAAATAATACAGCGATTCAAACCTCGATAAGCTATAGAAAAAAAAATGAAATATCTTTTTATAATTGTATAGATTAATCAGAAAGGTAAATAACATAGACAATGGATGATGAAAATTATCTTCCTGAATGTTCTGAATATACATCACAACCGCAATCACTAATAATTATCTACGATCCACCAGAAATAATGGTTGTAAGAGATTTTTCACGTATTCTTATTCCTTGTGTTGATCCTGTAGAATATTACAATGAATACTGTGAGGATCTACTGGAAACAGATGCATTACTCAATTATTGTCTACGTCTTGGTATACCAGTAGATAAAGTAATTATAATAAAAAAATATATATTTTATTTGTCTATTTAATTTCAATAGATTGCCTTTCCAACAGCAGACACACCCATAGAAGAATTAACAGACTAAAAGCCTGTTATCAATACAGCAATAATTAATCTTAGATGTTGATATAGAAGTGAAACTATTCAAAAATATAGATGTATTTAATCACAATTAGACACATTAAACTAGAACTTTTATTTTATTTTTTTTGTAAAACAAAATAGAATTGAACTAACTTAAATCAAATAAATCATTATACGAGGTATAACCTTTAGATATCGATTATTTTTCTCAAATTATGTTGTAAGAGATTTTTAAATATTGCCGATGTGATATATGTATATAAGAACTAATAATCATCATCAATACAAATAAATAGAATTTAGATTCGAAAAAATGATAAATATGTTTTTTAAGTCTAACTAGTGGAATGATCATTGTACTATTTTGCAATTTATTAGTTAAAAATAACCAATTATTCAGTCATCTGAAAACAATTATAATATATATATATATCAATATTGCTGTTTGTTTCGGTCATACATTTGACTCTTTCAAGATCATATACAACTTATATCATGTTTTTCTATTTTCTTTCAATAACCATTACGTCAGGTCGACATGCGAAAGTTCATATGGGTTAATAGAATATTTGTTTTTTCTATAGACGAAACAGAAGAATAAATGATATGCATAATTTTAAATAACATCAAAAGCCACGAAAGAAAATCGATTAGTTATGTGTATATTTTTGTTTTGATGTGAACGGATGGTTTCGATGATTTTGTACCGAAAACAATGTGTGGCTTTTATTTTGATTAAAATTAATAATTTGAAATCATCAATTTTCAGTATTATTCTATGTTTCTAATCAACATGAATTGATTCCTGATAATTCATTGAATTTAATCAAAATTCTATTTATACTTGATAAGAATTTATTTCTAAAAGTTACATCATAGGATTTATTAAAATTCTATTATTCAAAGCAATAGATTGATAGTTTCTAATAACATTAAAAAAATCTTCGTTATTCATAAATAAAAATATTACGCAAAAGTTTAGAAGTTGAAAGCAAATTTATTAAAACCAATATGATGAAATAGTCGAGTCTAAACAGATGAGATATTATGAAAAAAATACGAGAAACTAAATCATTAGTTATTTCAAACTTTAATGAAAAGAAAAGTTGAAAAGAAAAAACGTAACTTTCAAAGACTCTATTTTCAAGCTTTAAGTAAGTTTTGATCAGACAAAATTAGACTTGAGAGCATTTGTGTATATGCCTTTGTGTCACTCGGATATATTTTAGAAAAATATGTTCGTTCTATTTTGAAAGTTTCGGATCACTAATCGATTTACAGTTGAGGCAAAAACAGTTGCCGTTAGATTTCTCAAAGCTCTTCTCGCTGAAAGTGTGATGTATTGAGACTTTTTATGCTATTATATTGTATAGGTACTATTCTCTAAAAATACACTAATCGCTAAAAGTTGCATTCTCTATGCAAGCTTAAACGAGACAACAAACTTACTTCCTTAGAAGCAGTTAAAAATCTTATAGGTTAAACATGAATTTTATTTCATTTCATGTATTAGAATCTTTTCAGTTGTAGCAATTCTTAAAATGATCTGGTAGAATAATTTCATCTATACATGGTTGGTGAGTCACTTTTGTTAGTCTAATAATCTATTAATCAGGCCACACGCAACTAGCGTTTGAATCATGAGTCATTTTTAAAAAAATATATAATATATTTTGCGCAAAACCGGTCTTAGTCAGTGTATAAAGTCAGTATTTAATGTGTGCGAATAACTCTGGAATAATCACTTGACGGACGTATGAAACAGCCTTAAACAAAGTTTCTTTTTTACTAAACGGCAATTTTTTTGTACTCTGCTGTAACTAGGCATGGGCAAAATCAGATTTTTTTGGACTCGGAACCGGATTGTTAAGAGTTTATTCACTTTTACTATCGTATCGAAATCGAAAAATTTAGTTTTTTATGTCTGGAACCGGATCGAAACTGGTAATAAGTTTCTTAAGTATCGCATCAGAATCGTACGGTTTAAATTTTGTAAGCATCGCAATCGGAATCAGACTCGCCGATTCTCGATTCCGATATGGTATCACCCATGCCTAGCGGTCACTATAATTCTTCACTAATACATTGTAAATATGAACATTTTAAAAGATTCTTCTACCTCATTCAATACTATTGAATGTTAAGAACAATGCTAAAAGCTCGGAAACAACTGAAATCATTTTCTGACCGAGTATTAGCTGCTCAATTAATAAAATATCTAAAGACAACTTTCACTCATTAAACAATACGTAACTGCCCATCAATATTTAATTAAGAATTCGAATAAAAAAGTTTCGCCAAAAGTGTCTCATTTTATTCTTGAAATAATTTTTATTCGACAGCTATTTAAAACAAATAATTTTCTTCAAAATCGTATAATACTTTTTTTTTAAATATCACTTCATAAATCTCATCAATATTGATGTATCATTTTAGTTGAAATACACAAAAAAGAAACATATGAACACAAAGAAATTGTCTCGCTCTCTTCAACAATAAAACATTTCCAAGTTATCCTCCCGACTTCACAAATTGAAGTATGAATGTATATATATATATATA